TGAAGAACACCAAATTCACAGTCTTCACAGATGAATTCATCAAATTTGATGACGCAGGAGATGTCGAAGGCTATTATGATATTTTAAACTGGCAGTGGCGTGATAATCATAGCCTATCCTTTGTAAAAATAGGACACTATAAACATGTAGGTGGTGGAGCAAATAATGAGCTCGGAATAGATAACAGCTCAATATTCTGGAATACACCAAATGGCCAGGTAGGTGTTATGAATATTAAAAATAATATATTGCCAAAAACCATACTGTAGTCTTTTTTTTATGTTATTTCATCACTGACAGTTCACAGAAACATTTTCACAAGATTTCCATAAAGGATAATTGCCCTCCAAAATATTCAACCAGTTGTTGCAGCTGTAATCCCATTTTCAAATACTGAACTGTATGTACCTGTTCATTTTATCTGCTTAGCTGAAAAAGGAATGCTGTTTAGAAGGTTCAATAGCTCAAACTGCTATTTACGTGTACAGTACAACTGAATGCGTTAGAGATGTGAATCAAACACCCTACTTCCCACCACTGCCCACCATCTCTGTTTAGACAGATTCCAGTTAAAGGTATTTTCCACTTAAATAATCAAATGGCTCTCTAATGAAAGACATCTCAAACAGGCTGAACAATATAAAAATAATCTATATATAGAAATCACTTTTTAGTATATATCAAAAATTAATTTTAATAAATATTTGTAAGATTATAAAATACATATAAACACAATTTAAGCAACAGTGAGATGAGGGTCCTGTTATTGATTAATAGTAAAATATAATCCAATTTGGACCACTATGTCATACTATAAAGATGAGTCTGCAGCAGAGGTCTGCTCCCAAATTAAAGAGGAATAATATTAATTAAAATGGCACAGTGTCTTCTGTGTAGCATTCATTTTCATCCTGGAATCTATCTTGTTCCTATTCTGGCAGAATTTCTGTGGCTGATGGTATAATAGCCTTAAACTGAGCATGTGAAAAGCCAGGACAGTTGTATTTTATCAGTTCATTTACCATCCTCTCTGAGCCCAATGTACTCTTATCCTTGTTTATCAAAAAAGCAAAGAGGAAAATCAGCACAAGGGACATGCCGGTAACTTACAGTTAGCATGATGTGTTGTGTTGATTCTTTTTGTTTTAGGAGACATCTCACCACCACCACCACCACCATAAACATCTGGTGCAATGGGGGTTAATACAGCTAAAGGGCTGTCAGGAGCTCTCATTAAGAGAGCTTGACTACCTGCCCTTTCCTGCCAAATCTGGCATTCACTCTATGAAAGACACAGCTTCTATAAATGAAACAGGATCTCTGAATGGAGGTGGCGGGGATATCAGTCATCCACCAGTCCCCCATTCTGAGATTCTGTCTCATTCATAGAAGCTGTAGTATGGATAGATGACGATTTGTCCTAACACAAGAAGAATTAACACAAGGAACACATGTAAGCAGGCTGGAACTAGCTAGTTAGGATCCTGCCCTGGACAGGAGAGCTGGGGATAACTTAGTTCCTGAGTTTTTCATTTAGCAAGATCTTTTGGTGCAGCCCACTGCTGCTGTCGATATAAAAAGGGATAGTGGTTCAGAGCCAGAAAGGCCCTGGAGGAGGGGAGTTTGAGAGTCTTGTGGATGGTCTATCTGTTTTGTTCCATGTAGGGTACGGCCACCTAAGCATCTGAAAGATGTGAGAGCCATCCAACCTGGGGTTCTCCCCAAACATACCATGGTGTACGTTCATCTCTAAGAATAGAGGCCCGCCTTAAGGTTGAATATTCCCCCACGGCAGCCTCCGCCTTGCCTCAAGCCATTGATGAAAATGGCACAGAGTAAAGGTACCCCATGTGTATTGACAGTGACCCTGTTACAGGTGCCTAGCATTGCCCAGAAGAACCTACCTGAGGCCTCCTATGTGACCCACACTTGGTGCTCAACAAGGAGGGAAACATGGAGGATGTGCTAACCACCTGCTCCCCCCTTAAAATTATCATACTAACTGTAAGTTACAGTTAACTGTGCTGATTTTGCTGTTTGGGTTTTTAGCTAAAATTAGGCTTTAAATGAAAAAGGAAGTACAGCTGTATGTTACATATATAGAAAACATTAATGATGTTATTTATGCACATTTCTCTAGCCTCCCCAGTCTGTTTGTAGCATCAGCTGTATTCCAGGATCAAGGAAAGGCATTAGACAAGGAGAGCCAGTGTGCTGCTTTGACTGCATTCCATGTGCGGATGGAGAAATTACTAATGAAACAGGTAACACACTCTTCCTCTGTATCCCAGTCCTTTACTTTGGAAATTTGCAATACAAACATTGGTCTTTAAAGCCCAACTCCAGACAAATTAGAAATGATAATCTGCAGTGGGGATGTACCTGCACTGCAAGGGTTAATTGCTCATTTTAGGGGAAAGGAGATACACTTTTACTTACCTGATCCTCTCTTTCCTGGCACAATCCGGTGGTGGACTGTCCTTCAGCATCCACACACCTTGATGACATCCTGACCCTATACTGGTGGATCAAGGTGGTGGATGCTGTGAGGACTAGTCTAGCTGCGGAGAGGAGCAGAGGATTGAGTATAACTCTTTTTTTATTCTTTGTTTCCCTAGACAAACACAAAAAATTAACCCTTCTAGTGCAGGCACAGCCCCACTGCAAGGGATAATGTACTTGCCAGGGGTTGGGCTTTAAAGCCAAACATTTTTTTAGTTATGTATAGAGTGGGTAAGAGTTACAATTTCTGTTTTAACCCTTCTCCTTTCCTCTAAAAACTGTGTCTTTGTTTGTGCACCTGACAAAGATTTCAATAATAACTTGACAGAGGATCCATACATTCCCCACTCCATTCAATAGGAAATTAAACTTTTTTGTCTGGAGTCGCATTTTAAAAAAGATTCCCAAATAAAGTAATGTTTGCTGGAACTATTTATCAAGTTTATTTACCAAGTTTGAGTTGGCATATTTACCACTTTTTCTACCCATACATATTATAGTTGCACATCGTAAAGTGGAAGCCTGGCCAAAACCTAATCGTAAACCTGCTCCGGCCCCTATTCTAAGCTCTATACTAACTACCCTGTAAAGGAAATTGCTTATACTTAACTAATCTGTGGTTGCCCTGGTCCTGTCATGGTATCTTCCCAATGGCCGGCTTCAAGGTAGAGGAGAGAGCAGTAAGAACAGCTGCATAGTTTGGGCGGTGATGTTACCCATATGTGCCTCCACTCCCTTGAAGCTGGCACTGGGAACCAATCATGTTACTGGACCAGAGCGCCCTTAGATTAGGTAAGTATAGGCATCTTTCCTTTACAGGATAGTTAGTATAAAGCTTAGAATGGGGGTGGAGTCAGGTATAAACTTAGTCAGGCTTTGACCGGATGTTTACTTCAAATAAAAAAAAAAAAAAACAAGATTTTGGGTCCTATACCATCTAGACGTAAGTTCAGCTTTTTTTACAAAAAAAATGAAAAGGTGAACTAACTTACTACAACCTCTCCTCTCCCCAGTCCCCACTGTATGATTAGTCTTTCACTGCCAATGCACCCAGTGCAGTGGTAAGGAGATTTGAAATCCATGGCCTTCTTTCCTTTCTTTCCTTAGGAGTAATTCTGATTGGTCAGCGCTGCCACATAACCACTTTGACCAATCAGAAATGCTCTGATCTATCCTGGTATCCCTAAGGAAAGAAGGGGGAAAAGACTGCGGCTTTCATATCCCTGGATCACTGAATTGGCTGTGTGAAAGTGAAAGCTTATCATCCATGGAAGTAGATGTAGCAGGGATTGAGGAGTAGAATGGTGGGGAGGGTGTAGTGTATTTTATTTTTTGTAAAAAAGGTGAACTTAGACTTTAAGCTCTCATGAAGGGGGTCCTGTTGAGCCCCAAAATGCACTGGCTGTATATTTACAGACTTTGCTTGAACCTTTGATTAGAATAGATGGGCCTTTTGGGCCTTACCTTTTCCACTAGAGATTAGTATTGGCTGCTGTATACCAAACAATATGCATTTCCTTTTTGAAGTTATGCTGTTATGTATATTTATATATATTCTTGGTGTAGCACTCTCACTGTTGCTAGTGCAAGTAAATTTAGTTTGGCTCCCCTGTAGGCAGAGGAGCAATAGTTAAATGTGTTTAGGAGACTGTGCAGTGCTTCAAAGGGTGGGGCTCAATTAACTCCCCCTGTCTTCTGGAACTCTCTGGATATTTCTTAATCATAATGCGTGGAGGGACAGAGGCTGCAGTATGGATATTTATGGAGTTTCTACCAATCCCTGGGAAGGCAGGACTAGAAGGTAGGGAAGCAGGCCATAAATACTCAGAAGCCTGACAGTCTGGGAGCATAGCCCAGGGTCCAGCCATGTGGAAGAGACCCCTGTGCTGGGGGCTCTGCCCCCTTGGATGGGAGAGAGAAAGGAAGAAAGCTCCAGGACATCACTTAGCCTGTTTCAGCTAGGCTTAACTGCAGACTTCAACCCAAGTCAGAAACAGCTTGTTCAGCAGAGAGGCCAGTACAGCAGCTATCTGATTCTAGGATGTACTTTAAGAGACTGACTGAGTACACACCAGCCATCATATTTGAAGCAACAGAGAGGACAATGTAGTGCAATACCTAGGAGACAGCTTTTGTGCAATGCAAGACAGACAGGAGCACCCCAACGTCTCTACTTTGGATCTAGAGCAGCTAGGTGCTGTGCAATACAGGCAGGAGCTGACTCTTACTACTGGCTGCAGCATAGTCCAGCTGGACTTTAGCAGCCAAAGACTTTATCAGTTCCTCATTCATTTGTTCGGAGTTTACAAATCTCTTTGGTCTTGGGGCATCCCATGTACCCCCAATCCCTATCCAACTTCTTTGTTTTCAAAATAAACACCATAAAACCAAAACTCCTACACTGGTTCACGAGTCAACTGGAGTGTGTAGAAAATTCCTTTTGCCTGTTGGAGCTGCGTGGGGGAAATAGGCTCGAAATCTAGTGGCTCCTTTGGGAATAGCGTTACATTGGGTATTATCAGGGGCGGACTGACCATTTGGAAACTCGGGCACTGCCTGAGGGCCCGGGGGGTCAGTAGGGGGCCCCATGAGATGCCCCTGGTACCTTTTTCATATGCTTTTTTGAGTTTGGGCAAGGACACAGGGCCCCCATGATCCCCTATTGCCCGGGGGCCCCATGAGTTGTCAGTCCGCCCCTGGGTATTATAGTGGCTCTCCAGTCAAAAAGTAAAAGATACAGTTGATATATCTGTATATTTACTTTTTTTAACCTTACAAAGATTTTGTCATTTTTTCCAGCCAGTCTTGTGATTTACTTGCCTTTGCTACACTGCACATCCAGCAGGATAACCCTCCCATTAACTGGTTCAGGTTTAATGCTTTCTGAATTACTTCTGTGCTAATTAAACAAAGTTGATTCAGTTTCCTGGGAACAGGCTGGCTGCAGAGATTACATACGAGGCTCTGCTCTAAAATCAGGTAACTGTGTCAATTGACTGGCTTTGTAGTGTGGCAGATGTGTGTTAATAACAAGAATAACTTTACAGAATTACTCATTCTTTGGCAGATAAGATATAGGACACAAATATGAACATGTATTTAGCTGTGTGCTTGGAGTTCTACTTTAATTATGACCATAGAAGATAGAGGGTGGTAAGATATTCAGGCATGATCTAACCACAATAAAAGGCACACACATCAGGTGCTGGCTTGATGCCAGGAAAAACCAAGAATAATGGTCAAAATTATCCTAGAGTCGGACAGTTGCTAGTTTACGTTTCCTAGATGGTCAACTCTCAGTTTGAGGTGATGCAAATATATAAATATGAATATCAACACCCAATCTGATACAGGAATCCTGTAAATAAAAAAATGAGAGCAAACATTTAAGCATTTGAGCTTTCAAAGTTGGAGGTTTCTAAACAGGAATCCAAAATGTTTATCCATTAGTCCCATATGTAGGGTAAAGTCAAAGGTTTGGTTAACTGCTTTTCTACCTAGCCTTCTCCGCAACTTTGTGTACTTCCCCTCTTTTCAACACCCTGCTTCTCTATTCAGCTGACTAAACTTAAGAGATATCCAGTACTTAAACGTTATGGGGTACATGTGTCTTACCGCCCATATTACAGCACTGGTTCTTGGCCATTCAAAGGACAGGTATAGAGTCCTAAGCCCTATTTAAGCTTCATTCATGAAATACTGGGCTTCCTCCTTTTGCTGCCATCCAAATGGAAGGTGAGTAAGTAAAGTTGAGGAGGACAGCAATATTCTAATAAATTACAATGTAAATAACTTTTTTGATGGTTTTTCTATGCGTTCACATGACTGAAAGGCACAGCCTTGTGTGTTTGTCTGTGGAGGGCTGACAAAGCCACAGAATCCCAAGAGCTGTGATGTCACCCCATTGGCTTCCATGATTCTAAGGAAATGCTGGCTGGGAGACTGGAAGAGAATTTACACTTACCAGTTGCACAGATGGACACACTTGCCGGAGCTTTTTGCTCAAATGACTGCATAGAAAAACGAAACAAAAAAAAGGTATTCACATTGTGACATACTAGAAAATGTATGCACTGAATATCAAAACAATGGGGATTAAATATTTAAAAAGTGCGTTGTTCTTTAGCCTTTACTTCTATTTTAAGTGCATCTGTTGGTTTGTCCTCCACAGGCAAAGCAGCAGATTCACTTTAAAACTGCAGTCAAACAACTAAATACATATATGGAAATTGTTTCACCTAAAATGGTATTTCTGTCCATCTAGTTCTGACATTTACAAAGCTCTGACACATAACACAGACCTGAGACCTGATTTATATCTACAATTGTTATGTAACACTTTACAGGTCCTGTCCTTTCCCCAGCCCGTTACTGGCTAATAAAATGAGAAGCAACATGCTGATAAGCTCATTTCTTTGTCATTTTGCTCTCTCTTCCTATCAGGATACAGTGGATATAAAAAATCTGTACACAAAATGTCAGGTTTCTGTGATGTAAAAAAATGAGACAAAGATAAATAATTTCAGAACTTTTTCCACCTTTAATGTAACCTATAAACTGTACATCTCAGTTGAACAACAAACTGAAATCTTTTAGGTGGAGGGAAGTAAAAATAAAAAACTAAAATAATATGGTTGCATAAGTGTGCACACCCTTAAACTAATACTTTGTTTAAGCATCTTTTATTCCAGCACTCAGTCTTTTTGAGTATGAGTCTATCAGCATGGCACATCTTGACTTGGCAATATTTGACCACTCTTCCCTGCAAAAACATTCCAAATCTGTCAGATTGTGAAGGCATCTACTGTGTACAGCCCTCTTCAGATCAACCCACAGATTTTCGATCGGATTCAGGTCTGGGATCTGGCTGGGCCATTTCAAAACTTTAATCTTTTTCTGGTGAAGCCATTTCTTTGTTGATTTGGATTTATGCTTTGGGTTGTTGTCATGCTGAAAGATGAAATTTCTCTTCATGTTCAGCTTACTAACAGAAGCCTGAAGGTTTTATGCCAATATTGACTGGTATTTGGAACTGTTCATAATTCCCTCTACCTTGACTAAAGCCCCAGTTCCAGTGGCAGAAACACAGCCTAAAGCATGATGCTGCCACCACCATGCTTCACTGTGGGTATGGTGTTCGTTTGGTGATGTGCAGTGTTGTTTTTGCGCCAACCATATCTTTTGGAATTATGGCCAAAAAGTTCAACCTTGGTTTCATCAGACCATAACACATTTTCCCACATGCCTTTGGGAAACTTCAGATGTGTTTTTTCGGACTAGGATGTTTTTCTTCATAAGAAAAGGCTTCCGTCTTGCCATTCTTCCCCATAGCCCAGGCATATGAAGAATACGGGAGATTGTTGTCACATGTACCACACAGCTACTACTTGCCAGATATTCCTGCAGCTCCTTTAGTGTTGCTGTAGGTCTCTTGGCAGCCTCCTGGACCAGTTGGTTATGATTAAGCACGAGATCGTATGAAACGCGTTAACAAGTCCTGTATTCATGTCCTGGTGTTTTGTGTGTCCTATGGATCAATAAGTACACCCTATATTCATCTATCCTCCGGTGTGAGGCTGACCCTTCTTCCTGTTGCTGTAAGCCTCTTGACAGCCTCCCAGACCAGTTTTCTTCTCGTCTTTTTAGCAATTTTGGAGAGACGTCCAATTCTTGGTAATGTTGTGCCCCGTTTTCTCCACTTGATGATGACTGTCTGCACTGTGTTCCATGGTATATCCAATGCCTTGAAAATTCTTTTGTACCCTTCTCCTGATACCTTTTAACAATGTGATCCCTCTGATGCTTTGGAAGCTCTCTGCGGACCATGGCTTTTGCTGTAGGATGCAACTAAGAAAATGTCAGGAAAGACCTACTAGAACAGCTGAACTTTATTTGAGGTTAATCATAGGCACTGTAAATGATGGCAAGTGTGTACTGACTCCTATTTAACATTATTTTGAATGTGATTGCTTACTTCTGAACACAGATACATCCCCAGTTATGAGAGGGTGTGCACACTTATGCAACCACATTATTTTAGTTTACTTTTCCCCCTAAAAAATTTCAGTTTTTTTAAAATTGCGTTGTACAGTTTATAGGTCACATTAAAGGTGGAAAAAATTCTGAAATTATTTATCTTTGTCTCATTTGTTTACATCATAGAAACCTGACATTTTAAAAGGGGTGTGTAGACTTTTTATATCTACTATATTCAGCTGACTGGCCCCTTCTGCTGGTTCTCCCTCTTTAAGTCTGAATACTGGTGCATAGGGGATTGCAAAAGACGGACACTAAGTCAAATCCTAGTATTGTTAGCTATTTTAACCCTGAGAGAACTCTTACTAATACACATTACTATGTATTTTTTTACAAATAAAAATATCACCTAGCTCAACTAATTAAAATAACTACATCAAATTCTTGCAGTAATTACATTTTTGTTACTGTTTTTTCATAGATGCAAGAGAATGCATAGCATGCCTTCCAGACTTCTGGTCTAATGCACCGAAGAATGAGTGTGTTTTGAAGGAAGTGGAGTTCCTGAACACAGATGAAGCTTTGGGGATCACATTGATATTCTTGGCTGTGTTTGGTGCTTCCCTGGTTATTGCTTTTACTATTATCTATACAATTTACATTGATACGGCATTAGTCAAGGCTAATGACCGCACTTTGAGCTTTCTAATTCAATTCTCACTAGTATGTACATTTATGACATCTATCCTTTTTGTAGGCAAACCAGTGGCATGGTCATGTATGGCCCGACAAACTACTCTGGCTCTTGGATTTTCATTATGCCTCTCCAGTATACTTGGTAAGACTATTGTTTCTGATGTTAACAAAGCGAGCTGCTAAAGCTAAGAAGGGTGAAAAGAGCTCTCAGATAGTCATGAAACCACTCTATCAAAGAATAGTTGCAGTAACTGGCTTAATTATTGAAGTAGGGATATGTACAGCTTATCTGATACTGAAGCCACCATGGGTTTACAAAAATATGGAATCCCAAAACATTAAGATAATCCTTGAGTGTAATGAAGGTTCCATTGAATTCCTGTGTTCCATGTTCGGGTTTGATGTCTTTCTTGCTATTCTTTGCTTTATAACTTCCTTTGTAGCTCGAAAACTTCCAGACAATTTTAATGAGGCTAAATTTATCACATTTGGAATGCTAGTGTTCTTTATTGTTTGGATCTCTTTTGTTCCAGCTTACCTGAGCACACGAGGGAAATTCAAAGTAGCTGTTGAAATCTTTGCCATTTTAGCATCTAGTTTTGGTTTACTTGGTTGTATTTATGTCCCCAAAGGGTATATAATTCTCATAAAACCAGAAAGAAACACAGAAGAAATTGTTGGTGGTAAAGGCCCCACTAATGATAAGAGTGCACCAGGAACATCAGCTTCTATTACTAGCGAGATCAACAATACAACAGTGTCCACAGTTGTGCTTGATGATTAAATTGATTATCAAAGGCTGTACGTGTATTTGCTTAGTTTACCTAAATGGTACCAGGCATACTTAATAACAATGCAAACAGTGGTAACATACAGTAATCCACAGAGACCGTGGATCTTTAAAGGAAACGTATAGTGGTGATTACATTTTTTTTAGCTTGTTATAGCCAGGACTAAAAAAAAATAAACAATTTAATTTTTTTCCCTTAATGGTCACATAAATATGAATAGTAAATTATTATTATGTAGTTCTTTCCAGCCA